ATGGACAATATCCTCCTGTGTGATTACTGCCTCTGAAAATCTATCAGAGGGTTAGCTATGGGTCAGTTACAACTCTGTGGTTCACAATAATAACAAAAATAAATATTCATATTTTACCTCTTGTTTTACTCTAGTATATACATGTTGTTGTTGTGTGCCATCAAGTGAGAAACAAATCAAAGCTGACCTTCCAGTGGGTTTTCAGAACCAGTACTCATGTGGGAGGAGATTGCCCATCATTCTCTGATGATGCAGCTGGTGGATTCAAACCATGGGCCTTCAGGTTTGTATTGCAGTTTCTTACCTCTAGGCCACCAGAACTCAATAGTATATTCCTGAATCTATTTATAATACAAATACATACGTAGAAATATCGTCTACTCCCTTGTCTTGCCTCTCTACCTCTGTATCCCTCTGTTCATATTGATATTACAGAACTGTGGACATAATTATATTTACTTTAGATGCTAGTAACTCTTCTCCATCTGTTTACATGTTCCTTTTCTTTAGTGATATTGTGCTATTCACCCCCTTTTTTATACTTTCCCTTCATTAAATTTCATGTGTCTCTTATGTAGTTAGGATATTTCTATTCCCTCTCCTATCCCCAAAAAAACCACATTTTAAAAAAGTGTTAAGTGGTTCAATGATAAAATTAGATTTCATGTTTATATGATCACTATCACTTTCTATCAGAGAGCTGGACAATGACCACAGTTGACAGAAGAATTGATGCTTTTGAGCTGTGGTTGGAGAAGAGTATTGAATATACCATGCACTGCTCAAAGAACAAACAGGTTCGTCCTGGAGAGGGTGAAGCCAGGCTGCTCCTTGGAGGCAAGGATTTGGAAGCTTTGTCTGACATATTTTGAACATGTTGCAAGAAGGGACCAATCCTTGGAGAGGGATGTCATGCTTCGGAGGGTGGAGGGACAGCGCAAGAGAGGAAGACACTTGATGAGATGTATTCATTCAGAGACTGGGGTAATGGTTATGGTTAGGTGTGTTGAAGACGATGAAACTGGAGTGTGATAGAGCAGGGTTTAGGGCTGTTGTACGTAGGGTTGCTGTGCATCATAGGTAACTTGACAGCACATAACAACAACAATAACAATCACTTTCTATGGAAACTTGGATGAAAGTGCATATAAATGAAAGTAAGGAAAGGAGATAAACTACTATAAGATCAAAACTAATAATTTCATTAATTGTGATAGTAGCAGAAGACTAGAAAGAAATTAATCTATTTCAGTATGATGTGTTGACTGAAGAACTGATTGGCCTTCCAAAGAATAGGAGAAAGAATAACAGACACAAAACAAACATGATTGAATAGTTTGAAATAATGTGTGGTTAATAATTCAGTATATGAATCAGGAATCAGAAGATCACTTTTCTTGCTGTGTTGATGAAAAAGGGGGAGCAGAAAGAGCCAGACATCTAAGATGATATTCCAGTGATTTTATTGACTGGATCAGTATATGCCATTTTATGAAACAGGGGGAAAGTTTAAGAATATACAAGATATTTTAAAACAAGAATTCCTTTTAGATACAGACATATTGCATTGGGAAAGTCTACAGTCAACGATCTCTCCAAATTACTGAGGAACAATGAGATCAGCTTAAAGGCTAAGGTGTATCTCATTCAGGTCATGGTCTTTTCAGTCACTTGCTATGCTGCTGCAAGCTCGACAATGAATAAGGATGACAAGAGAATTGATTCCTCTGAGTTGAAGTGTTGGAAAAGATGACTAAAAGTTTCATGAACTGCCAAATACCGAAGAGATATTTCTTTCAGAAAGTGCTGCCAGAGTGTTCCTTAGAGGCAAGGATGATAAAGCTTTGTCTCACAAACTTTGGGCATATGGTTGTAGGGGGCTATTCCCTGAAAAGGGAGATCATTCTTGGAAGGAAAGAGGATCATCCCAGGTAAAAGAGATGAGGCCCTGAATGAGATGGATTGAAAACATGACTGCAGTAGTGGGCTCAAATGTTACAGAGATTATGAAGTTAGCAAAGGATAGGACAGGGTACAAATCTATTGTTCATAGGTACACTATGAGTTGTATTTGACCCACCTAATAACAACAACAACAACTTGCAGAACTTTTTCTCTATCCCAGTATCCTGTTTTTATAGCACTTAACATTATCAGAAAGGAGCCCTGGTTGCACAGTAGTTAAATGTTCAACTACTAACTTTAAAGCTAGTCATTTGAAAACACCGGCTGCCTCATGGGAGTAAATGTGGTTTCCATAAAAATTATAGTCTTGGCAGCTCTATGGGGTCATTTCGTTCTGTTTGATCGAGCCACTGTGAGATGGAATTGACTCCTCAGAAACAGATTGAAACCATCTGATGTTTTGTATTTTATTGTTAAAGCATTTACTGTTTCCTTTTTTTATATCATGCACATCCTGGTGCAGGGATTTCTCTTTCATACAGGAAAGCATGGCATATTATAGATGCAACATAAAATTCTATTGGAGAGAAAGATAAACACTTGCTAAATACTAGTTTCTTGTTCTAAAGTAAAGCATAGTACTAGGGTTTTGTATAATAATAATAGTTGCAATATTACATAGATATACTACTTATAATTTGCATGGATGAAAGAATAAAATATGATCCTATAAATAAAAGCTGAATAGGCAATCTCCTCCTGTGCAGTTAACTGCCTCTGAAAACCTGTTGGACTGTCAGCTATAAAAGTTGTTTCCAGACTGATGAGAACAGAACAATACAAAGAGCAACTCTTACTATTTTATAACATCAATAGATTATAATTATAAAAACAGATCAGACTTCATTTAACTGGAATAATTAAAATCAGGATGATATAATATAATTAAATTATATATACTTATGAAAGTAAAAACCAATGATGAAAGTATATATAATGTATATATCTATATGAGGCTCTGATAGTATAATCTGTATGGCATTAAACTACTAACCCAGATGCGAAGCCTGTCCAGTGTTTCAAAACCACCAGTGACTCTGTGAGAGAATGATGGACAGTCCCCACTCATACCATTTATAGCTTCTAAAAGCCCACCAGAGGACCAGCTATAAGTTGATTTGTACTTGAGTTCTCTTGAGCTTTAATATATAGGATATCGTTCATACACATTTTGTTTCAAACATGTGCACTATTTTATACAGTCTTTCATTTACAGTCTGTTTCATTCATTTATATTGTGGGTCCCCCCCTTACATTCATCTTATTAATAACAGCATTGATGAAAGTGTATAAGCTAGCTACTTCATGCTTTATGCTCTAATACTTCTCTGTGAGATAGCCAATTACTGATTTGCCCATCCCTATCAAACTAGTACACTGAGGGAACAAGCATGTGTCCCTTCTGCTGAAGGATCTTCTGCTCAACTTGGAAATTTTGAGCATCTGCATCCACAAAGTCCCATCCAGAGGAAGACATCAGGTTGCAGCAATCTACCCTGACTTATGTCATCGATCACTTTATCTTCATCTGATTGTTGTTGTTTGTTGTTATGTGCTGTCGAGTCACCTGTGACTTATAGCGACCCTATATCATCTGATTAGGTTCTGGTAAACTCATCCCCAGCCATCTATGGCTAGGTTCAAATAGGCATTAGCTGTAAGCTCAGGAGCCTGCATTCCAAACCTGTTGATCTCCTCACTGAGGCCCAGCCCCCACTTGGGTCAAAGTCAAATCAAGAAGTTAGGGGTCCTTATGAATCCCTGCTTCTCAGGCCAACAATCCTCCCAAGCTAATCTATCCATCTGTGCATGGTAACTAGGCAGCTCTGGAGAAATACATCCAAGCTCACTTAGCCTTTTTCTCCATTGTTGTTTATCTCCGACTTCCACTCCTTGGATACAAGTGATTCCTGTGAGTGAGCAAACTCTGATCTCAATCTTGGAAGTGGGCTCTGATGGGCACCAATTTTACCCTGCCTCAGAAGCCAACTAGTGGGCTCCACTCTTAAAGAAAGTTTCTTCATTTCTTTTTTCCCTTTTGACTTCTCTCCTTCCCTGCTTGCTCTTTTTAGGAATGTGAATCTCTTCAATCAAAAGTATAATGTGCATCCACAAATCCATTCAAATGCAAACGTCTTCAGAGAACTGGGTGGGACTTGGTCTTTCTCCTAGAACAAGAGCCAACCCCCTTTACCAGATTCTTCTTTAAATAAGCTTATCACTAGGGCAGATCTTCCCTTTTAGTAATGGCCAAAGACAGACTTAATTTAACTTTTATGATAGTGGTCTTATAAAAAATTTATCTCAGCATAGTAACCTCTGCATTCTTCCATGTTATGCACTGTTTTGTGGATTCCCTATTGTTTTGGTTTTTTTATTTTAATATTTTTTTTTATTTTAATGAAAATCTACTGAAAACTCGGATTTCTATTAGTTCATTATTGCACATTTTCCTCCCTATCCCCTGCCCAAGTTCACTTAAGAAAAAAATAAATCATTTTTTCCATATTTCCTCCCTCCCTCTACCCCAGTCCACTTAGTTATGCACCTCTTATTCTGGATTGATGTCATGCAAATAATGCCTAATCATGAATTTCTTTTAAGCAACAATTCTTTCCTTCATCTCTTCCAATGCAGTGTTCATTATTTCATTGTGAGTGCACAGGGTTCAGGTCTTTTGTTCATAGGGTCACTATGAGTCATGTTCTACTTGAAGTACTTAACAACAACATATGCCATATTACATTAAATAAATGGTGTATCATCTAGTCTATATTACATTCTCCGTTTCTATAATTATTAAAGTAATATTATTGTAGTTTGACATTTATTTGAGGTACAAATGTTCTCTTAACAATATTAATATCTCCTTAGTGTTTTAAGGACTATTAATCAGTTTGAAGGAAATTGTGTTAATTAGTGGCTGTTCTAACTTTGTTAACATGACAGTTTTTTGTCTTCTTGCAGAAGTAACAATCTTGTGAGCAAATATCGTGGTTAATTGACAGTTTTATTTTTTTATCTTTTGTTTCTAGGAAGAACCCTATGTCCTGTTTAAGAAATCTGACAAACCTCTCTACGGGAATGATCGATTTGAGGGCTATTGCATTGACCTCCTGAGGGAGCTATCTACAATTCTTGGCTTTACATATGAAATTAGACTTGTGGAGGATGGGAAATATGGAGCCCAGGATGATGCCAATGGACAATGGAATGGAATGGTTCGTGAACTAATAGATCATGTAAGTTTTGTTTTCTTGTTATTTATTACCTCAGGGAGATTGATAATTATTTTTTAACAGGTGAAGAGATAGTTATTACATATTAGTAATAATGTCGGAAATTATTTAGCAATCTTCTTATTCTCAATTTCTTCTAAGAAAATACTATTTTTGCCATTTATATAAAGAAATGAACAGAGGTGTGTATTTCTGTAGTATATTGATTAATACCTAAGAATTTAGAGCTAATGAGAGCCTGGTGCATAGGCCTGCGTTTTGCTTTTAATTCATTTGGCCAGATGCCTCTTACAGCCAAAGAGAGTCTGGTATACAGGCTTGGAATTTTTAAAAAATTATTTAGGACTGAGTCTTCAATTGAAGACACATGTGTATAGCCCTTGGCTTTAGAATGGTGAGTTCTTCTTGTCTTGGATGAAGGTCAGCTGTAGGCTGAAAGCCTCTTGTTAGAGCCAATGAGTGCCTGGTGTGCAGGCCTGTGGTTTTTTTTTTTGTTTTTTTTTTTTATTTTTTTAATTTTTTTGGTTTAATTGTGTTTGAAATTAACATCCTCCTAAGTGGTACAGCACTGTTCTGTCATTTTGCTGTGCTGAGGTAACTTGTGATTGCTGTGATACTGAATGATGTGTCATTGGTGTATCAAAAACCATAATGGTTATACATGGTTGATAGTGTGTGGTGGAACTCCCAGATTAAGACAGGCTTGGAAGCAGAAGTGGCATACAATCATAAACATGCTTCTGGGAACTCTTTGAACTTAGAGAAAGGACATTAGTTATAGAACAGGGTTAAACTCTTTTGTTCATAGACTTGTTATGAGTTGGGCTTGACTTGACGGCGTTTAACAGCAACAACAACATATAATGCCAGGTTCTTGTCTTCATTTTGGAAAGTGGGTGAAGTGGCTGGACTCTGTAAAATGGGCATTCTTGTTTTGGTTGAGGGTCTCTGTGGAATGTTTGGGGTGTTTTTGTTTTGTTTTTTATTTAAGCCTTTTGTTTAGAGTCAACAAGACCTCCTGGAGGGCACTTGCATTTAAGGCCAGGCCCTTGTGTCCATTTAGGAGACTGAGTGAAGCAGCTGGACCCTGTAAGATGGTACTCTTGTTTTGGTTGAAGACCTTTGTGGAATGTTTGGTTGATTTTTATTTAAGCCTCTTGTTTAGAGTTAACAGGACCCCATGAATGGCCCTGTATTTAAACATTGGGCTCGAGGGATTATGTTTTAATCCCTTGTTATTATATTTTGGAGAAACATTCTTCTAAGTCATACAGCACTCCTCTGTCAATTTGTTGTGCTGAGGTATTCTGGGTTTGCTGTGATGCTGAACTTTGTGCCACTGTAGTCTCAAATGCCATAATGTGGTGGACAGTATTTGGTGAAGTTATTTGGTAGTTACAGAAAGGCTTCAGGTCTTTTCCTCATAGGGTTGCTATAAATCATGCTCGACTTGATGGCAATCAACAACAATAACAGTAACTTAATTTTTAAATAGTTTAGTTTGCATATAATCACTCATATATATGTTTTTACCAGTATTTTGTGTTTTACATAATCATTAATAGACACTGTGTTTTGATCATGTACCTTTGCTTTATACTCATTCACATGGGTTATATTTTATATAATTACTTCTCATTTTTCTATGCCTGTTATCCCTCTATCTTTTCAAGTCCCCTTTGTGCTGTACCTATTTCTCCATCTTTTGAAATGCTTATTGAACATTTTCCAATTGTTCACCACCCCTCCACCTACCAAACTCTCCTATCCAAGTGATTTTTCTCCTTCCCCTTTTTGTCTGTTTTTCTCCCCTCCCCTTCTCTATTTGGACATTTGTGCAAATCTTGCTCAGTTATCTTTCTATTATAATAGTAGTCTTATGCAATAATTTTCCTTATGTACCTGAGATAAATCACTCAATATGCTGCTTTCTAGTCTCTTCTGAGTTATATAATATTTTATGAGATCATCATTACTTAATTTAATAGCACTTTTACTTTTTAACATTAATTTTTAATTTGTTAATCATAAAGAATAGGAGATAACGCTCTATGACCAAATATAGATGATCAAATAGAGTGCAAGAATTATTGAATGATACCATTGATATCATATCAAGTTACATTGTTCTGATAATTTAAAAAACATTGACAGGAACTGTCAGAAATTCAAAGTGCATTTCAAAGAGACCATAATATGAGGGATATTACTGCTTATGTCAGATAGAACTTGGCTGAAAGCAGAAAATACCAGAAAGATGTTTTCTTCTGGTATGTGAGGTGTTTGTGTGGATCAGAATGAATAATGGATAACAGTGAGAATAATGGGAACCACAGAACATTTAATTATGCACATGTGAAACCTGTATATAGACAAAGGAACTGTTGTTAAAACAGAGCAAGGGAACAACTGCATGGTTTAAACTCAAGAAAGGTGTGTGTCAGCGTTGTATGCTTTCTCCAAAACTGTATGCTCAGCTAATAATTTGAGAAACAATTACATAAAGAAGAATATGGCATCCTGATTGAAAGAAGACTGAGATAATTTGCTATGCGGATGACACAGCCTTGCTTATAAAAAGAGAAGATTTGATTCACTTACTGAAAAAGATTAGACTAAAATATGCCTTCAACAGTGATAGCATCTCAACAGTAGAAGACAAAAATCCTTATTACTAGTACAGTAGGCAACACAATGATACCTGGGAAAAAGATATAATTTGTTAACAATTTCATTTTTATAGATGCTCCAGACTTCATTTCATAAAGATATAATTTTACTTGAACCAAGAAATGAGAAGACTTACTCTGTTGGGAAAATATTCTGTCAGTGGCCTCTCCAAAGTTTGAAAGAACAATGATGTCGTTTTAAAGACTAAGGTGCACCTGATCCAAGCCATGGTATTTTCAGTTGCTGCATATACATTTGAAGGTTGAACAATGAAAAAGGAAGATTGAAGGGTAGTCAATGCCTTTGAATTGTGATGCCAGAGAAAAGTACTGAATATTTATTCTATGGAGTGCCAAAAGAAAACAAATCTGTCTTAGAGGAAGTAAAACCAGGATCCTTAGGAGTAACGATAGTGAACTTTTGGCTCATATCATTTGGGTGTTTTGTCAAGAGGGGAACGTCAGCATCAAGCTGGAAAAGGTAGAGGGTCGAAGAAAGAGAGGATGATTCTCAACAAAATGGACTGACAGTAACTGCAAACATCATATCATGCATAGAATGAATGGTCCTTCACAATTATTGTTATTCAATTCAAATGTCTGTCATGCTGAGGTTGCAAAACCCTGTTTTAAACTTAGCTAGTCCTTAGAACTCTAACTCTGAAAGAGAAGAGGTTCCTTTCCCCCCCCCACATTTTAGCAAAATTCTTGCGAAGAAGTTTGGACACTTTGGACTGTGTACCCATTTGTGAATTAATCTATAGGAAAACAAACAGATTTGTCCTGGAAAGGGTTAAACCGGGTGGCTCCTTGGAGGCAAGGATTCTGAGGCTCAGTCTAACATACTTTGGACATGTTGTGAGGAGAGACAGGTCCTTGGAGAAGGACATCATTCTTGGGAGGGTGGAAGGACAGCGCAGGAGAGGAAGGCCCTCTATGAGGTGGATTG